TAGTGCGTCACATTTGTTTACCTGTAGTATGTACGCAGAAGATCAATAAGATAGATGATCACGCCTATGCAAACTATCCAATTAAGAAGGGTCCAAATGCTCAAGGTGCCATATGAAGTTAAGTCATACTCTCTAGCTCTCACTTGGAAGAATCGATTAATCTGATAAGGAAGGTGGTACCCAAAGATGTGAGAGAAACTCAGAGTTTCAATGAGGTTTGGTTAGAGGTTCAAGGAAGGTTTATCCAAGATCATCAATTATTGGTAGGGCTACCGGAGAAGCTTTTAAGTTAGTTTGGATCAAGAGACCTTAACTAAGTGTTTGAAGGAGCCCGAGAAAAGGTTGAAGTAAAACCTATGTATTAGCTTTGTCAGATCAGGACAAGACCTTTATATCTACAATGATGTCCTTGTCAAGGTGTGGGATGTGTCCTTATACAAGAAAAAAAAGTAGTAGCTTATTCATTAAGTCAACTAAGGAAGCGTGAGTTGGATTACCCAACATATTATGTGGAATTATCCATTGTGGAGCATGGAAGTGCTATCTTTTGGGCGCAAAAGTGACATCTAGGAGGATCACAAGAATCTACAGGACATCTTCACTAAGTTGGTCTTGAGCTTGTGATATCCTCGTTGGAATGAAATTGATTATGACTTGGAAAAGTGCTATCACTTCGAGGAGCAAAGTCATGGCCGATGACCTTAGCAATGGAGAATTATGCTAAGAAGGTTCGGGTGACACCAATGACTAAATATTGTATTCCAAGTTCAAGCAACTTAACCGGAATCATTAATGTTTTGAAGGTTGGTGGTGGACTCTCTTTCTGATCAAGAAAGTGAAAAGGCTCCGTCGGAAGATGAATATTTTAAGAAAAGAATTGATAGTATGGACTAAAAAGGAAAGGTGGGCTAGTGATTGGAGATACCTGAGAGTTGTTCAAAGTGCCTGTTAAAATCTTGGAATTAGTTGAGCAAGTTACTTGGAGTAAGGTTAACATGTATGCAAAGTAAAGTGGGATCCTTATCCAGACGATGGAGCTACACGACGAAGTAAAGAGGAATGCAAAGACAGAGTATCCCTATCTCCTAGTTGACGTCTTTCGAATCTCGGGGACGAGATTCATCTTAAGGGGGTAGGATTGTAACACCCTAAAAATTTCAATTTTGAAAACAGGATTAAAATGAGTTATTTGTGAATTTTTGTGCAAATAAAATGTAGGAAAAAGAATATTTTTTTATTTTATTAAAATTCATCATAGGGAGTAGCAACATGGATGTGCATACATGCCGGTGCATTTGATTTATTTGGTTGAGTGGTTTTGATTAAAATTCAAAATGATTTAAATTACTTTTGGAAATAAGTTTGAAAATGGCTTTGAAGTAAAAGAAAAGAAAATTAGAAAATAAAAGAACTTAAAAAGGTGTAAAATTTATTTTTGGAAGCCTACCAAAATTGCTCATTTTATTTGAGTTGAAAAGTATATTTGAAACTCTATTTGAATTTGCATTTGGTTCATAATTGAATTTGGTTTTGAAAATAAAATAGAAAAGAAAAAAGGAAAAAAAATCCTTTCCCTCTCCTCTCTCTCAGTCCGGCCCACCCTGACCTCTCTCTTCCCGCTCTACTTGTCTGACAACCTGGATCTGCTCCCGCTCTCGCTGACTGGTAGGACCCACGTGTCAGTCGTCTCCCACCTCTAGCCTTGCCCAAGCGGGACTCTAACCCGAGCCGGGAGTCCGCCGCTGCTCCAACTCCGCCCCGTATCCACCCGATTTGGCGTCACCTCCACGCCAAGCTCCCTATAAAGCTCCGCGAACCCCTCCGCATCCATCTGTGTCACCGCTCTAGCCTTGGCTTCGCGTTGCCACCGGGTTTTGGATATCACCGAACTCGTGTTCACCCGCCGCCTTTGGTCTCCACCCCGGCAGCCTCTCCGACATCAGGAAGCCCCTAGGTGAGTTCGTCGTGCTCCGCTTTCTCTCCCGGTGCCTTCCCCGTGTTGTAACATGTCCCTTAGGCGCTTCCCTGTGCACGTCAGCGAGCTCCTCGCCATCGGCTATGGCAGCCACCGCGTTGCCCTTCCTGTTCCGGTCGACGCATCTCATCCAACCGTTCCTAGCCGTCCGATCTGGATCGGACGATCCCAAATAGAAGATACCCATTCACAGGCAATTTTGCTAAAAAGTCCTCTAAGTTTTTAAGTATATAACTACCGTCCCTGCAGCTTTGCTAAAGACCCCCTGCATTTTCTTGGAATTGAACCCCTAGTCCTTGGCTGGTATAAAATTAGATTTCATTTATTTTAAATTTCGAAAATCAAGTTCCATCTATTTATAAAATTGCCACTATCTTCATTAGGCTATATCTTCTCTGTTTTAACTCCAATTTGACCCGTTCAAGTTGCGTTAGATTCGAAATTGAGTAATCTACATGTTCATCCTACTGTTAAATATATTTTCAAATTTTGAAATTCGAGGTTAGATTTAATCTATTATTTTATTAAAGGAAATCTTGTTTAATTCATAACTTTTTTGTTATAGCTTCGATTAGAGTGCTTTTCGTGTCTGTATGTTCGTAGCGAGACGTAGATTCGTTTTACAAACTTTTTATTTTGATTTTATGTTTGGTGTACTGTTCTAATTTAGATCTATTGTTTGCTTCGCGTATGATTGCATGTATGCTTGTGTGGTGCTCTATGATCATGTCTAGTCGGTGAGCTATACGTAGTGAATCAGGAAGCAGATCTTTGAAGGTTTGGATTAGAAGAAGAATCTAAGTTTAAGGCAAGTATAGCATGGGATCTTCCTTATTGTTCTATACACTTTTAATCATTTAATTCATATTGCATGTGTCTGCCTTGACTGCCACTAAGGATTTCCTAGTGCTTTGTTACCTTGTACCTTGATACCTTTGGGTTATTGTATTGGGTTGCTTTGCTAGTGCTCAACTAAAGGCATGATCTTGTAACTTGATTAATGCTATATGCAATAAACGTTTAAAAGATGCTTTTTAACAACATGAAATCAGAGGGCTAGAGCATTGGACTGTTTTATGGTGATCTAGATTCCTCTCCCTAAGGACTTATCTGTAAGTGATCATCCGGGACTTACAGTACAGTTGTGAGGGCTATATGGCTCTGGCTTTAGCTCAGTACAAGGACCTTTTTCTACCTTGTTAGAGGTTACCTTTATGGCGCAAGAGGGGTGTGTTTCGGGTTGGATATAGTGCGGCCTCTGTCCGTCAGTGTATAGGCTACGCGTTATTATGCCTGCCGGAAGGGGAGCCCTACATTCGTAGGGCACAGAAACCTAGTGGCCTTAACTTGTTAGACGAACCTTTGAAAGCCTTCATAGTGAACCTTGTCGACCTTCCTTGGTAGTGGGTCAAGAGGCTTATCACCTCGGGCAAAAGGGTAAATCACGACTCACAGTGAAAGTGTACAACCTCTGTAGATTGTAAAACTGGTATATCAGCCGTGCTCACAGTCACGAGCGGTCTTGAAACATTTACAAAATAGGTGATTATTAATGGTTAATGATGATGAACACTGATGATACTGATGATAAAGATGCTCACTAATGAATATTGTTTATGCTATTCATTGTTCATGTTTACCTGATCATATGTTTATGGGCTTATGATAACTTTGTTGTCACCCTATTGCTAAAATCATGACTCAATAAAAGCTAATCGCAGTTAAACCAGTGTCAGCCTTTTGAGCCTTATAAACCCTATGTTATATTTGTTGAGTACGACGTGTACTTGACATGTACTTACGCTTGTTTTATTTTTCACATGTTTGAAAAAAAATCTCGGATGGGTACCAGATTGCTAGAGTTTGGAGGAATTAGGCTTGTGATCAACCACTCAGTTGTCCTTGTGGATTGGAGTCTTCACCCGAAGATCGAAGTTGTCTTTTTGCTGTTTGCTGACTAAGGTTATATCATTTATACTAAGTATGTTATATATTGAGCATTGCCTTTTGATATTACCCTTATTTGTAGCTATATGTGATATTTAACTTCCTAGGCTCACATATGGTGCGTATCTAGTTTTGTTCTTAAAACAAGGTGGTACAGCATAACACCTTTATTTTTACATCTCCTTTAATTCATGTGTCTAAACTAAAATATCTTCTATTTTGATATGGAGGAAGTATTCGTTTTCAGCGATGACCATCGTGAGATGAAGTGGACCTGTATCTATGCCTAAATGGGTTGTATCTTACTGGGCTTCCGGTACACTTAACTTTGAGTTGAATTTGGAAGGGCTAAACAGCTATCAAATACACATATATGTTACTACCTAATAGATTGATCGGTGCAACGTTAGGGGGTGCCGCCAGTGGTGCGACGGACAGCTGAATTGACGCAGGATTGCTCCACGATTATTCTAGCTTTTTGTAGTCCGGCTATGGATAAATCGTAGCTAGCTTTTATTGTAATTGATATGAAACATATATATATATATATATATATATATATATATATATATATATATATATATATATATATATATATATATATATATATATATATATATATATATATATATATATATATGGCGCTTCAAGAGGTGAGATTTCAGAGGAGAGAGGAAAATGAAATGGCTCATTAACTTACACAGTTGGCTGAGTGGCGGAGGATTAGATTTGAGGTATGGCAGGATCGATTCATAACTTGCGGCGTTGGCGCATCGACTAGGACTAGGGATTAGGCCTTCAGGAGTGGGAGTCGAGAAGGTCATGGACATCTCTTGTTATCAAACCGGGAGAGTTTGGCCGCTCCTCAGGGTGTCCACGTCACCCGAATTCCTCTGTCCGTCCGATTCTGCGATCCACTGTCCGTATTGGTTCCAACGCCCGCTGCAGCACGCCCCACCCGCTAGGAAACCCTCGCTGTCTCTCCCCGACCCCGACGCCCTCCTCCTCTCCGCTCTCTCTCTCTCTCTCTCTCTCTCTCTCTCTCTCTCTCTCTCTCTCTCCCTCGATCCATGCCACCATGGCGACGGTGCACGGAGCGCACGGCCGGCCCGGCGCAGCTACGGCCGCCCTCCTCCTCCCCCTCCCCCCTGCCCCCCACACGGCGTGCCCTGTCCCCCCTCTCTCTCCTCTCCGCTCACTACCTCTCTCTCCCGATGCGGCCTGGGCGACGGCAGCCAGTGCGCGCAGCCAGCCCGACGCGGGCTGCCGCCGCCGGCGGCACTTCCGCGGAAGGCCTGCCCACTGGCGTCTGCTGCCCGGCCGCTGCGCAAGTTAAGGTTCGCTCTCTCCCTTCCTCCCCCTCCCCTTCCCTCGCCGGCGCCGGGAATGGACGTCGATGTAGGCTTCTCGGCTCAGTCTTCCTTGCTGCCCGACGCCCAAACCGGCGGATCTGGCGGATCCGTCTGTCCTCCCATCCGATCTGTGCAGGCAGGAACCTTCCGGAGGCCATGCCCGTTGGTGCCATGGTGGACGACCGTGGCCCAACGACGGCGCTGCCCGCTGGCTCCTGCGCGTCTTGTCCCGGTGCTCCGCTTCCCTCCGCTCTGTTTTGGATCCATAGGTTCTGCTTCCGTTCGTCTGTATGCTAATGCCGTTCGATGTAGTTGTGTATTTGCTGTCGCCTTAGTGTGTACATCCACACCATCTGTTCTCATGTGTTTGTTCCCGTTTTGCTAGCAGTTCTCTTTCGTTACCCCTTGTCTGTCAGAATATCGGCTTGGTGCTCTTCCTCCAACTGGTACTGGTACTGCTGCTCATGTGAGGTTCATTTGTTCATGCATTCTGATGCTCATAGAGTCAAAGAAATGTGTGCTGCTGCTGCCATGAACGCACCCGTATCTTGTTGTGTGCTTCAAACGTCTGTTCATATCATCTGCATGTCGTGTGGTGATCAGCCTTACTCCGAAGCAATGTTTGTGGAATGTTATCAGCTGGTTTCTCTTTACGTTGTGCCACTGCCTTGTGATTTGTGAATTGATTGTATGAGCTAGATGCGTACTATACGATTTGCATATCATGGACCTGATTTTGAGCAACATGTGTAGTAGCTTTTTTTAGGATTCATTGCTTCCTTGATGTGTTGTTTAGATCCGGAGTAGCTTTAGATTGGGAGGATGCTTGGTTTCCATGGCGATCTCGCTATTAATTTGAACAAACCCTTATCCCAGCCTGATCTGGCCCGTGCCGCTGGTGGGGGACGACTCACTCCTCGACGTCGACCTCAACCTGCTGAAGCTGGAGAACATGGTCTTCTACCACAACGCTGACTGCTTGGGCCAATGCTTGTGCTACAACGTGTATGGCTGAGTTCTAGAACAAGGATAAGAGAAGGCATTCGGCGAGGAGGAGCAGGAGCTCTTCCTCAAGTGGCGACAATGTTGATACTCTGAGGGCCTCAAGCTTTTTTTTCTGACTGAGCTGATCGCGGGTCTCAGACACTGGGTAAAATTGCTCTTCTATTTGTGTAATATTTTCCAATAGTCATTACGTTCTCAAATTTGCCGGTCTACGATTTGTTAGTTTAATTGGTTCTCTCCGACCATTTTTGCCTATAATATGGTATTCATTGTATTCTGGACTTTGGCTTTCAAAAGCTTTGTGGTCTACTCAGGTACATGAATGCATTGAATTCACCAATAGTAAACCTAGGGAGTTGGACAACAATCATCTGCATGGTCATATTGTTAGTAAATCATGCACATTTACTTCGTCGTGTCCATACTCTTTATGGGCAGATTAGGAAAGTGGATGCTTACTTTAAACTGTGGGGTTACTAATGATGCCATGCACAGGCCGTTCTGAAAACCAGTACAGATCCAATTGGCCGAAGACGGAGCACGATGGCCTACTGGGAAGTGGTGGTTTCCCCAGGCCATCAGGATATGCTGGCCAGTTACCATCAAAGGATCGTGGCACTGTGCCTCAGCAAAACAGGACCTCAGAACGCTCCCTGGCACCACGTCCTTACAAGGTTGGTGCCTGCCTGCCTGTACCCTGTCTTCCTTTCATCATCTTAGAATCGGCAATCTTTTGAATTTTTTTAAGTACCTCTCACATTAATGACAGGCTGCTCCTTTCTCGCGGAAAGATATTGACTCAATGAATGATGAGACATTTGGGTCTTCAAAATTATCAAATGAGGATACAATAGAAGAAGAAAGGAAGCGGGTGGTCATATTTTCTTACTGCAACATAAAACATCCTTGTCTTTCCCCGCTGCAATCATCGATTTTGTCTCACATTGCCCTGTATGCAGCGTCTTTGGAGTTGATGAGAAAAGAGCAACACAAGGCAATGCATGGAAAGAAGGATGGTCCTGATATCCTGAAGCAGAATCCCAGTGATGATATCATTTCATGGTTACAGACATCTGCTGCAGAGGCAAATGCCAAAACTAAAAATGAGGAGTTAAATGGTTCCTTAGTATGCTCATATCAACAAGATACCACTAAACCATCTTCAGTTCTACTAGCTCCTGCAGCCATGCCGCTTGTCCTGCCGAGTTTTGCAAATGCACTTGCACAAGAAACTTCAGCCACAGTCATCTAACATCTCACATGACCCGAAGGTGTGTATCCAGATGCCGCTTCAACAGCTAATAGAATGCTAGCGATTACACACAAAAATCTCCTACCTTGGAGTCGTTGATACCTTTTTCTGAAGACCCTGTGTTTATTGGAGATAGAACCTCCGGTTTCTATCTCTGATAGAGTCATTTCCTTAGCAAAAGAGGGATAGCTCCACCAATGTTGTAGTGTTGCCTAATATGTTTCTACTTTGTACTGTCATAGTGCTACTACTGAGGCTAACATGTTTACTGTTGCACGCCTCGGTGGTCAGCTAGAGGGTGACCAGGCACCAACAGATTTCACGTGTGAAAATAAAGAGAAGGGAGCGAGGATTGGGAAGCTGACGTAATGAGTAAGTATTCTATTGAAATGATGATTCGGTACCAATCTTAGAACAGTTCTTTGGCAATGTTTTATCCAAAAGTGGCAGTAGCTTACCTACTTATGTTGAGGTATAACAAGAAATCCTATCTTGGACTTATGCGTGTCTCAACTGAAAACAGTCATGTATATTGATTATTAGGAACAATATTCCTGTATGACATTATGTGCTTCGGCGCCATATATATATGCTTCCGCTGCTCTTAGTCGTACAAAAAATTCAGATTTGGTTTTATAAAGTAAGCTTTAGCTGTGTCAATGCACGACGCGCGCGAGGGCGCGCGGCGCGGACTAGTGTGTTAAAAACTTGCAATGCCCTGCTTATACTAGACTGATGAAAGGCAGTGGCCGGCAATTTGCCGTGAAGAGCTGTCTGTGGATTTGCGGCGAGCTCAAGGCATGGCCAGTGCCACACCTCGCCCTACCGAGCGCTCCGCCCCTCAACTTACGTCCACTCGACGATGCAGCACACGTAGGTTTTTTGAAAGCGTGAAGTCGTTGATTGCAAAAGAATATAAATTGTTTGAGTAATCAATATAACTCTATCCTCTTTTTGGAAAAAAGTTTATCCCTAGTTGAGTTTTTTGACACTAGGAAAGTTCTATGTTTAAATCGTGACTTTGCCCCTGCTCATAGTCTCGTAGGTATAGAAAATACGACATAAGTCTATCTTTTTTTGCGAAGTGACGAGGGATTATATTAAAACTTGGCACACTACATCCCAAGTCACATGTGAAAAAAATCTAAAATAAAAAATACATAATATTCTATCAAGATTTTTTCATCGTCTTCTTCCCCAATGGCTTCGCTCGAACGCCGGAGGCAAAGTGCAGCCTTTATGGCGAATCCAACGACCAACCCCAAAACATTGGACATGCTGGAAGATCCAACGCTTCGGAACCAGTCCAAAACGCATCTGAATCGATGAAAGAATATCAACCGTTGTAACGTTGGGTACAACATAGTTTGTTGATTCATCACTTCCAAACCTTGATCTCTCCACAACCATCGACGATGAGATCGATGGCCTCGAGTAGTTGTCCTCGTTGGGAGCGCCCATAAGCACCCCTCCCCTTGCATATAAAAGCCATCGATTGGCCGTCTGCCGATGAAATTGATGCCTGCAACGATGATCTCATCGTGGCAATCATTGAAGTCATCGTAGAAATCACGATCCCAACTGAAAATCATCTGATTTTGCCGAAGGATTTATTTAGGCTAAACCCTAAACAACTAGATATAAAACTACAGAAAAAAGGATGGGTTCCCTCTCCTTGTCCCTAGCAGACGCATCGGAGAGGAAGAAGGAGAGAGGCCCTAGGCGCCGGCGCCGGCAGCGGCGGTGGTGAGGAACAGGAGATGCAGCAGACGGCGTGGTGGCGGCGGCTCGCATACACCCTGACCTAAGTCTATCATTAGCCGTCAATGACAACTCAAATCATAGATAAACCAAATATTACACAAATTTGACGCAATTGCACATGCGCTTCCCTTGACTATGGGGTACGGCAACGACGATGCGAGAGCGAGCGAGACACAGAGTTATCCGCCAGTGCGTTCTCGGTTCTGCCTCTCTTTTCCAGCAGCTCTACTTCAGGAGTTAGTCTTTTCCTTCTCGGTTGCCCTGGCCCTCAGCCATCTGAGAAAACTCTGCGCTTTCATTTCCTCCAAGCTGGTTTGTCGTGGTTTCAGATTTATATCCATACACGCCAACTCGTTTTGCGAGGTTGATCTAGGCGCTAGTCTGCTAAGCCTATGCATCCGTGAAGAAAAGAACTAACTCTTTCGCACTGGCTGCCTTGATGCTATCAGAAATTCTTTCTTGTGAACTGTAATCGCTAAAAGGCAGACGGGGACGGAGACCGTAACGCGGTCAGCCATGACGCGGCGGCGGCGGCGGCGGCTGGCCTTCCGCGTGGAATTACTTGCTCCACACATGCATCTTCCTCGGCAGGCTATAACACGGGAAATTTTCTCCGGCCCATGCACAACCGCTGGAGTAACAGTGAGTCAGTGACGACCTGGATGCGAGAACGGAGATTGGAGGAGCTCCTAACTCGAGTCCACTTATCCACAGTCAACATGATTGGCAGAACGGCACCACAAGTTTGGCGCGTTCACGGGCTACACTTCACCATCCAATCAATCCATAGACAAAAGGTGTTTGCATTGCAACATCAAAATCTACCCGTCGTCCACTTAATAGATTTAAATACATGAACTTTTTATGGTGTGTCATTAGGTACCGGACCTTAAAATATATTTATGTAGGTCATTAAACTTATCAAATGGTAACTACATGTCCATATTACCCATATGTCACTATGTCAGCACCTTGCTACCTAAGTGCCAAGGCTAATATAAATAATGTATGGCAAAAAAAAAAAGGCTAATATAAATAACGACCCATTAGGTCCACATGTCAGGGTGTTTGGATACCCTCTCTTAAACTTTAGTCCGTATCGTATCGAATGTTTGGACACTAATTTAGAGTATTAAACATATATTAATTACAAAACTAATTGCACAGATGGAGACTAATTTGCGAGATGAACCAATTAAGCCTAATTAGTTCATGTTTTGATAATGTGGTGCTATAGTAAACATGTGCTAATGATGGATTAATTAGGCTTAATAGATTGGTGTCGTAAATTAGTCTCCATCTGTGCAATTAGTTTTATAATTAGCTCATGTTTAGCTCTCTTAATTAACATCTAAATGTCCGATGTGACAAGAATTAAACTTCAGTCCTTGGATCACATCCCACCATTCGCCTCTACCCGCACTAGCCACTCATCCCTGACCATGGTCGACGGTGAGGAAGCATCGCCAAGCGCCATCGAAAGCTAGAGAGAGAAGAGGCAAGGAGAGAAGAGAAACACGGTGTGGATGAAATGTGGATCCTTACATATTAATATTCACATCAGTACGACACATAGGCAGTTAGGTGCCGACATGGATAATATGGACATGCGATGTATCATTGGATAAGTTTAGTGACCTAGAAATAGTCTTTTAAGTTCATGGACCTAAGTGATACACTGTGGCTTGCATTTGACTCTAAATTATACCTGTAGACATATGCATTGTAAATTATGTTTTAGTTTAAATCTTGTGAGTTAGAGCGTTGTAGAAGGAATACTACTTGATTAATTATTTGAAAATGCTTGTTGTAGGGCATCAATTCATCCGGACGGACCACTCCGCACTCGTTCCGTGCGCCCCGCCTGTCCATGCCGTTATTGCTCGCTCCCGTGCTGCTCGCTCCGCACATCCCGCGCACCCAGCGCCCTACTCGCCCACGTCACTCGGTCCGCGCGCCCCACGCCATTGCTCGCTCCCGGCCGCGTGGATTTGCCCAGCCGTCGCACGCCCTACCTGCCGCGGGCGTCTCGCAGGGCTGCCTCCACCGTGTTAGTTCAACACGACGCTCGCGTCATGTTGTGTTGAAAACGCGTGCTGCAAACGTATGTTACAGGTGTTTTAGATATTTCAGAGGTATGTTTCAGGTGATTTGAATGGATGTTGCAAAGGTAGATCCGGATGATGCACATGTTGCAAGAGTTTATTTAAAATGTTTCATCTGTTTTAGACGTATGTTGCAAATGTTATAATTGAATGTTGCATATGTTGCAATTACTATGTTGCAAAAGCGTATGTTTCATCTGTTTTCATACGTATGTTGCAATTGTTTTATCCGAGTGTTGCAAAAATAGATCTAGATGTAGCGTGAGAGAGCTAGCACGAGAGGCATGGCGTCATCGACTGCTAAGCTGGCCGCAGCGGGCCACGTCCGCGCTGTCTTACGTGGCTCTGGAGTGGGTCCTCATCGCGCTGCTTCTAAATCAATGGCTTGCTCGCCTACGCAATCGCCAGGCTCGTGGACTACATCGGGCGCAGTCTGGCACGAGCGAGGGAGCTTATAGTCGAGCGCGGGCACAGGTGGACGCCGCGTCCGAAGCGAGGATGGGCGCGGGCGCTGCGTCGGGTGCAGACGCTGGAGCCGCGTCCAGACGTCGCCGTCCCGTTCGGACGTCCGGGCTAGGTTCGCCCTTAATTATTTGTTGTTGTGTTTCTTATAGTCCTTGGAAGTTGGAGCTATACTGGGTACTAGGAGGTAACAGGATACAGAAATGGAAACAAAGTTCTCAGGATCACATCCAAAGATCCTACGGCTCCAACATGAAAAGTGTTATAAAAAAACCAAAAAAAGGTGTGTAGCTGTAAGATGGATCGGTACTGGACTGATGCGGTGCAGGGGAATGTCTCAATCCGCAGTTCGTGTTAGACCGCCGATATCCTTTCCACCCGACGTGCCGGCAACGACGAAGTTGCAGGATTCCATCCATCACCTTCCACCGTGCTGATGATGCCGACCCTCCCCACACCTCTTTCTTTCTTTTCTTTTTTTTTCGGTAATGATTGGACACAGCCAGCCACACTAGTTGATCACGGCCAAGAAAACACGGGCGCCCGGGGGAGGCGGCGTTTGGAACCTTCGCTAACCCTATCACCGCATCGGTTGCCCCCACATGAACCTGCCGCAACTTGCAAGGAGGAGGAAGTCGATTAGTTTACGCATCCATTAACCGCCAAGGTCTAAGCAACACGATCGAGGTGGTACGCGTACGACGATCTCCGTCGTCCATCGCGTTTGCGCCAAGTCATCCGCGGCGTTGAGCTGGGCTTGGGAGAAGACGCAAAGCTGGAAGCAGCGAGACCGGACGTGCGCAGGGCTTGATTGGAACGCCGTCTTCCAATCTTGACGAATCGTGGGCCACATGAGAGCGACCATCGGCTTCACTGGATGGGTGCCTGCCGGCCGAGCGAACTTCGAACGGATTCACGTGCCGTATATACTCCATCGGTGCTAATGGTTTATATATATCAGCAAATAAAAAGCGCCCACGCAAACGTGGAAGCTTAACTAGCTTGTACGTGCTTTGCTTGCAAGATGAAGAGGCCGTGGAGCCACCCGTCGGTCGTGCTCCCGCTGCTGATCGCCGGCTTCCTGCTCCTCACGTTCCGGTGCTCCCTGCACCACGCGGCGCAGCAGGCTTCCAGTTCCAGCCGCCGCGCCGCCGCCGCCGACCACGATGCGGGAAGAAGCTACGTCGTCGACGCCAAGCTCGCGGAGCTCGCGGCCGTGGACCCGGCCGCGTCGGCGGTGCTTCGGGCCGCTGAGACGCTGCTGCTGAAGGGGAACCGGAGCCTGACGAGGGCTCCCCCGGAGCGCCGGGACGCCGCGGTGCGCGGCCTCCGCGACTGGCTCGGCAGGCAGCGGTTCGAGCCGCAGGTGATGGCCAAGCTCGTGGACCTCATCAAGCGCCCCATCGACCGGTACTACGCCGCCGGGGCGACGGACGGCGACGACGACGTGCCAGTACGGCCGTACGCGTCGTGCGCCGTGGTCGGCAACAGCGGCATCCTGCTGGCGCGGGAGCGCGGCGCGCTCATCGACAGCCACGACCTGGTGATCCGGCTCAACAACGCGCCCGCGGGCGGCAGGCTCGCGCGCCACGTGGGCGCCAGGACCGGCCTGGCGTTCCTCAACAGCAACGTGCTGAGCGGGTGCGCGGGCGCGCGGCGCCTGGCCGGCGCCGCTGGCTGCCGGCGCTGCCGCGCCGCCTACGGCGACCGCGTGCCCATCCTGACCTACATGTGCAACGCCGCGCACTTCGTGGAGCACGCGGTGTGCAGCGCCGACGCCGAAGACGGCGCGGCGCCGGCGCCGGTGATCGTGACGGACCCGCGGCTGGACGCGCTGTGCGCGCGGATCGTCAAGTACTACTCGCTGCGCCGGTTCGTGCGCGAGACGGGGCGGCCCGCCGAGGAGTGGGGCACGCGGCACGAGGAGGGCATGTTCCACTACTCGTCGGGGATGCAGGCCGTGGTGGCCGCGGCGGGCGTGTGCGGCCGGGTCTCCGTGTTCGGGTTCGGCAAGGAGCCCGGCGCGCGGCACCACTACCACACGCTGCAGCGCGGGGAGCTGGACCTGCACGACTACGAGGCCGAGTACGAGTTCTACCGGGACCTCGAGGAGCGGCCGGAGGCGATACCCTTCCTGCGGGACTCCGGCTTCAGGCTGCCGCCGGTCGTCGTCTACCGCTGACGACGATTGATTCAAATCAACGGCCGTGTCAGTCAGTGCCGACGTACATACTCCATTGGTTTTTGACAAATTTTGCTACTCGATCAATCAAAACGTGTTGTACAAAAGCGCAAGGTGGAACCCAAATATGTTTTGCATCACTGGAAAAGGAAATTTGCATGCTCATGGGAGCGTCTGGGTCAAGTCGCTTGCAATCTTGCTCAGGTCGTTACCGGAACCGGTCGTGAACTGAATACTTATGGCCTATGGTTGACAAGCAAGCCTCTCCAAAGTCTGGCAGGTGTCACCGTGTCATGCACTCATGCTCGATTGGCTTGACTGGGGGTCTGCAATTGCTCGGCCAAGTTTCGTAGTCCGCTCTCGGGTCTCGGCTGACTGGCTGAGCACAGAAAGGCCAAAGTGGATAGGCAAGGCCGTCTCAGCTCTGGACTCTGTCCCCGAATGCCCCGACTGCGGCCCATGAGAAATTGAATGAGCTTCTGCTACGGGAGAAAATACGAGGTTTAGGGCCGAGATGTAGTTTTAGATAGAGTAAAATGCACAATTAGTACATAAACTTGGCACGTGGGTGTGCTTAGGTACATCATCTCTCTAAATCTCCTACAACTAAAAAGAACAAAAATAAGACTATTTTTTTGTGCGATTTTTTTTGTCGCTCCTCCCTTCGGGCCGTGCGATACCCCACGCGATAGAAAAAGAAATTGTCATCCATGCGATCCCCGCCCGCTTTGAAAGAAACAAATCGATAGAGGCCATATGCATGGAAGGAAACAATAATCATGCATGGAAATCATGCATGGAAGGAAACAATAATCATGCATGGAAGGAAACAATCATGCGGAGCACAGCAGCAGGGGGGACACCGTCGCCGCCGCCCATCAGGTCTAAACCCGAAGTCACCCCCGGCCAGGAAACCTCACTCCCGCTCCCCACCCACATGCCGCCTCCACCACAACCGCCCACCCGTCTGCGTGACGCCCGCCGCCGTCACCGCCCGCCCGACGTCCCCCGGCGCCTGGCCGCCGGAAATCCGCCGCCTCCACCCCGGCGCATGGGCTAGACGCCCGCCGCCGCCACCTTGGCCATGGCAGTGGCCGTGGGCGTCGAGTCGGTCGACGAGCCCGAGGCGGAGGACGTGTGGCGCGGGGTGCAGTGGGAGGCGGCGTGGCCAGGGCGGCGGGACCCAAAACCCGTCGTGCTCGCGGGTGGAGACGACGCGGTGGTGAGGTCCAGGAGCCTCACGGACAATGACCTAGAGGAGCTCAAGGGATGCGTTGACCTGGGCTTCGGCTTCAGCTGCGACGAGATCCCCGAGCTCCGGAGCACGCTCCCGACGCTCAAGCACTGCTACTCCATGACCCAGTGCCTCCAACCGGCCGCCACCGCCACCTAGGCGCCCGAGTGGCAGATCCAGGTTCCCCTCCTCGAGACCCCCTTCTCTATCCCCTCATTTGCATCGTCTCCTTCTTGACTTGATTCGTTGATTCGAGTGTAGGATGTGTTGCCTCAATCTTCTCTGGGTCTGATGCGATGGATGGGAGCGGAAGCCGAGGGTAATCCCCCACCACAGCACGCCGCCAGTGAGCCCGCGACCACGGCAAGGGCGTAGCCCATCTCCCCAGCGCAGATCGCCAGTTCCTCTCCTAGAAGCAGTGCAAGGTCCTTCCTTTCTCCCTTCCCACACTAAAATTCCTGAACCATTTGCTCATTTTTATCTATGCACGTGCTCATTCAGTTGAATCAGTTCTTAGGATGGCGGATAAATTTATTAGATCTGTGAGATAGACAGCCACCGCTACGATTGTGTGTTGCTGTAGATGGCTCCTGGTGTATTCTTGTTCGATCCTGCTAGACAACAAGGCCTAAGTGGCGACAACTCAGGCAACGGAATTGGTCTGCCACCGTGGAAGTTTAGGATCGACGCCAAGTTGCTTGATGTAAGTGTAGCCACCATTGCCCTTTTGTTTCAATTCTCAGACTTGGTTGTTTGTTAGAGTTCAGCAAATTCAGTTCAGTTGTGCAATAAATTTAATTTTTCACTATCATCAGTCATCAGATATTCATAATTCAAATATGAATATAAATAGTATTAGGAGTTTGTATACTTGAAACAGTGTACAATACATTTTGGTTCAGCATTGATACTCGTCAATCAAGGACTCCACAGCTGGTGGTGGTTGTGGAATAAGTGGTGGCACCAGCTCAGGTGCTCCCCGCGGATGCTAGGGTGAGCTGGATGGGCTGGAGAATCTGTATGTCAAGATGTCCATGCGCAGGGTCTCCGGCAGCCAACTGTTTTTTACTATTATTGAATTGCATAAACTGTTTTTTTTTGCCAAGAAAATTAAGTTAAAACAATTAGTTGATTGGGATTATCATTTACTCTTTTTTCAAATAGTGGTTGTAACAACCCAAAAATCTATACACCAAAAATACCAGCTACAAAATTTTTCTCAAGAATCCCATGTGATGATGAGTGCCATGTACCTAAGAGATGCATTAGGTCTAACCTAACCCCAGTCAACATATAAGCATGGCATGTCATTAGATAACTGTGTTTATTAATTTCCAACAAATATAATGTTGCAAACATTGTTAAATTCAAAATGTGATTTGAATTTTCATTTGAGTTATGATTGCTAAACAACTCCAATAAAATAATAAACCATAAAGTTATTATTAAACAAAATTCCCAAAACTCCAATGAATAAGTCACCTCAGTTGTGAAATCAAATTTCAAACCAAATTTGAATTCAAACAAATGGAAAAGAAATGAAAAATAGAAAAGAAAGAAGAGAAGAAGGCCTCCCGGCCATTTGCTTCGGCCTAACCCATACGACCGAAGAACTGCACAAGCCTAGCTAGCACCGGCCGCCGACCACCGCTTAACGTGCTGCTGCAGCCCAGCTACCCTTTCGGCTCGCTCGCCTGCAGCCCAACTTATGCCCAAATACGCCCACACGCCCGTCAGCCTCGCTTGCGGTTGCAGCCACCTTGGCCCCCAGCGTGTCACCCAGACGTTGTTCGTGTGCCGTCGCTCCCGTCTCGCGCTGCGTACCCTTTTCATTGGACCCGACATCAGCGCTACTGTGCTTCTTCCCCATGCCGCGCTCCAACCACCGCGCGACAGAGCCCCGACAGCAATGGCAGGGTGGGCCAGGGGTCATGCCCGGGGCATGGTCCTGTCTCCCCCTTGCATCGCGCCCACGCAACCCCGCGCACACCGTTGGATGCAAGCTCGCGCCCCGATCGCCCTTGAATTCCCACCGCCGATCACCGGGCTCGCCGATCCCCGCTCGACTATAAGAGCCTCTACCGAGAGCCCTAGCGCTCGTCCCGTCGCCCGCCGCCACCTTGGTGGCCAACCTCAGCACACCCGAACCAAGAGAGAAGAGGGAGAAGGGGAAGAAGGGAGAAAGGGAAACGCCGAAGCCGCTGTCGGGAGGAGGACCGGGAGCACGCCGGAGTTCGGAGCACCGCCACGGGTCGGCACTGCACGTCTTCTGGAGCTACATGGCTGCAACTCGTCACGGCACCGCTATCCTATCGTCTACGACACCTACGGTGAGCCTCTCGCTACAGAGACCCCTCCTAGCCCCATGGACGTCGTAGCTGAGCACACGCACGCCACGCTCACGATGCCGCCGCCATGGCGCAGCCACCACTGGTGCATCCGGCCGCCGCGCTGGACCAAGACACAGCCGTAGAGGATCACCATGACGCCTGGAGATTAGCTGCGTAGACCGAGTCGTCGATAGCCGGCCATACCACCCTGGCCACGAGCACTGGACCCCAGCCGGAGCTCCGCCGTGCACCGCCACCGCGACCAGCCAACAGGAAGCCGTCCAGCCACCTCGCTAGCGTCACCAGGACACTCGCCATGGTAAGGCCGAGCCGTTGCCCACCTTAGTTGAACGCCCGCGCCACTGGAAGGGGGTCGCCGGCGAGCACCGCCACGCCGAGCCGTCGATCGCCGTGGCCAACACCTTGGGGAAGCTCTGGCCGCCCATTGACCCCACAGACACAGACGCCGTGACCCGGCGAAGCTTTTCCCCTCCCCAATCGGACACCAGAGCCACCGCGGGGGCTCACCGTGAGCTCACCGCCGGCAGGAGCACCGCCGCGGTAAGAAACAAGGGAACACACCGCCCCTCACCGGCCACCCGTGCGTAGGCTCGGTGCACATGAGACAAGCCAAGGAGAAGAGACGGTGGACTTGGTCCACCATGCGCCCTGCCGTAGGTCCATGGACCATGAGCGCTGGTCCACCGTGGGCCACACGGTGTGAGCCGCGCTGTGGACGAAGCCCAATAAGGGCCCATGGCCGTGACATGGCTGTGCCACAGCCTGCCATGTGTCTGGCCTGGCCCAGACTGGCCCTACCCGGAGCCCAACCAGCCTGTTTGAGACCCGGCCCGTGTTGACCGTTGATCGGTCAACGTTGACCGTTGACCTGACCCCACATATCAGCGACACAGTGTTGCTGGACCCACACGTCAGATAATGACGTCATGCTGGTGTCGTGATGACGTCACGCGGGACCCACATGTCAGAAGCCAGCACAGCCGAGGTGACATCACGCTGACATCAGATGATGACGTCAGCAGCCCTGGCCCCACACGTCAGTGACCCTGACCGTTGACCGAAGACCATTGACTGTTGACTCGTCGTTGACTTTGACCGGACCCACCTGTCAGTGACTCAATAGCCTCTGGCCCCACCTGTCGGTGAGCATGACGTTGATGACGTCATGCTGACGTCAGCTAGACCCCACCTGTCAGCTCGGAACCGTGATGCTGACGTCAGCAAGCCACGTGAACCAACCACAGCGTGACACGTGTCAGCCTAGGATTAATTCAGCCTTTTTCATTTTCAGAAATGGAATTAATCTTCGGAAATTCATAACTAATTCATACGACCTCGGAAAAATACGAAACCAGGACAAAAATTCATCTAAAATCGAGCTCTACGCCATGGACCCATGTTTGAGTGCATTTGGCTCTTTTGAATTTTCATTGCTTCTTTGTGCTATTCTATAGACGTCGCTAACGCGACTATAATGCGGTCGTTTGCAGACTCGGAGGAGAACTGGACGGACGAGGATCGTGAGTACCGTGAGGAGTACGGAGACGACTACACTGAAGGTGCCACATCCCACCCAATCTCGTAGCACCTATTACGCATGGCTAATATAGAAATGCTAGCGCTTACTTTATTGTCATGATCACATTATGGTAGGACTTGTATGGTAGTATGCTTTCTTGATGGCCTTTACCTTAACGCAACCTTACTCCTGCTCACCCTGCTGTTAGGCTAGTCACACGCTTGCTAATATATTTCATTGCTTACTACTTCTACTACGCTTGCACTATATGGAGGCGTGGTGGGAACTGGTGTTATCTGGACCATGGGGAGAGTGCTCCGTGTGTGACTTGGGTGCGTGGAGGGTGAGGGTTGTGTCGACCAAGTTGGAGTATACGACGAGCCTGGGGCAAGTCTTGCCGTGGGGAGCTACCTGGGCACCCCTGGAATGGATACCTGTGGTGGGTAAATGGTATATGAGGTGGCCCTGGGTGTGAACCTGTGATGGGAGGAGCCTAGGGTGGAGGTGCTGTGGTGGCACGGTAAATGGAAACCCTGATGAAGACATTCTGGCTTGGTCATCCCTAAGGACTTACTAGTACTCAGACTCACCGGGAAGCCTTACGTACCACTCGCCCTATATGGTGCGGGACGGCTGGACTACTTGGTAGGGTATTGCCACTACTGCTAGGTTGATAGCGGACAGTGTGAGGGAGGTACGGGGTGCAGAGGATTTCCCCCACACCCTTCCAAGACTTCATGGAGACCTTGTGGACCCGGCTCATGACTCATAGTTTCAGCCACCCCAGACCGGACTTGGGGTGTACCAGGGCTGAATGGTAGAGTGGCATTACCCTAGGCTAGCAAGCGGTCGGAATCAGCCCAGTTGACGACGGTCAGCGAGGAAGGTGGATCTTGTGGTTATGTAAAACCTCTGCAGAGTGTATGGTTGATCGATCGATACATATGCCGACTTGTCGGCTATGGACCTTTCCTGGGTTTCGCTTAAACTAGATAGTGAGATGAGTCTTTCTTTTCTCCCCCTGGGATGAGTGTTCGGACGTAGCCAGGGGCTACGGGCCTTGAGACCGTGCCGAGAGGGAGTTGGCCTGTCGACTGAGCGATGGAATGAGTGTGGTATGGTGATGGTGTGGATATGGTGGTATATCGATCCCAGGATCGAAACCTGGCTCTGGAATGGGAATGGGGTGGAATGGGTGAGAATGGTGTTAAAACTTGACCAACCATTATTATGAACTTGATATGCTAATACATAGGAAACCCTAGCTTTATAGGTTCCTTTTTTATTAT